CACTTTTCTGCATGCAATTTATACCCCACCATGTGCTCTAGCAAACGGCCAAGATACTGCTATTGAAATAGCCTGCTTCTGGTCGAAAACAGTCTAATTATCTTAACTTTTTCTTTTAATTTCACCTATATTTCATATAGTACATCTATAATTTTAAACTGTGCAATGCTCTGACACAAATTAAGAAAGAAAGCCTGTTAGACACCTTTTCTAACAACAGGTGTTTACTAATACCTTAGATAATTTAACAGTAGTGGCAGCAGAAAAAAACAACAAAAAAAACTTTCAATATATGGGAATACCACAACAGACGGAAAAACAAGGATAATTGCTCCAACAACTTCAAAGAGGAGGCAAGTCAGGAGGTAAATGAATCTGAAAACATTAATACAGAATTAATCACAATATGACATTAAATCTTCTTCATGGAGTTCTTCAGTGCTCATTATCAAGACACAGCTGCTGACGCTACAGAGCAAATATGTCTTCACCATCCCCCACATGGAAAAAGTATTTCAATCTGCAGTTATGTACCTGAACAGGTTTCCATTATTTCGTGACTCATAGTTTATTGTAGGCCAGTTACAATTTTACCCGGCACAAGCAGTCTTGCTGGGATGTTTTTCACACAATGTAACATACACATACAGTATATATATACAATTTGAAAATTGCCACTGCCCCAAATGATTTTACTGCAAATGATGATTTTTTAAAAATCATCATTTTTTAAAAAAAATAGGCCCCAATGGCCTTCCATGAATTAAAGAGATGCCAAGGGGGGCATCCTCCTTGGGGGAGGCAACTGAAAAGCTTTAATTCCTGAAAAATGTTTGTACTTGATGAAATCATCAGTCTTGCATGGTGTAAAGTTCCACAACAAGATTTTGGTCATTTTCTAAAAACATCCATCAAACATGCTTGCAACACACTGGGAAGATTGGGCCAACATAGCTTTATCAAAGTGGTATTTCCTTTATCATAAACATACAGCTGGTGGTCAATTTCACTCAAGTCGGTTAACACAGTATAAAGACTGTGAGGTGAATGATGCAGAAGAACAGCCAAAGATTTACACTTTGAAAGCAATAGCTGCTCAAGCACTTGACTCTGGCATGAAATGTGCTCAGTTTAATTAAAGCATTTCAGAAATCTCAGTACAATCAATTCAGAACTACAGTACTGATATTTTGCCAACTTTGCTGAAGAAATTAATATTAGCAGATGAACAGAGATATTGCCAACACAGCATTAAATAATGTAGCTTAACATAATTCTGCTTACCATAACTGAATAATTCTGGGCAAAGTTATAAAATATTAGTTTTATTATCATGCTCTGTAATGTAGGATAATGCTATCACAGACTGTCTGAGATATATGACAGAACTGTTATTCTAGCAAAAATCTCAGTATAGCACCTGAAACCCAGAGAATGCTTTGGAACCCACTTGCAGTCTATGTGTGACTTGAATTAAACAGCCAGTATACAGAAGAAATAAAAATGATGCATCTTTTTTTCTGAATAGCCTGCTCTTCCAACCATAAGGGCAAAAAGCTTTAGTATCTTTTCAAGAATAATCCTTCTACACTTGAAAATTCAGATGTATCACCACAACAGAACTATGAATGTTGCTCATTCACAAATCAGAATAATCTTATGTCCAATTCATTATACATATTTTAAAATACAGTAAATGTTATGTTGCTAAGCTACAAAGTGGGTATTTGAATGCACTATTGCTTTGCTCCTTAGTCTTGCCAGCATTAATGGCACAAGCCACCAAAATAGGTATTAATGGTAACATTACTATAAGAGAACTACTGTATAACCATAATTTGTGAATATTTTGAATTTTGGATGTTGTTCTGGTCCAGCCCCATGAATGCATGTGCTGAATTATAGTAGACATTAAATGAACGTATCTTGAAAATACGATTTCTCCCATACATCTATGGGTCAGTCTGAGTAACAGATAACTGTTTTCCCAAATCATAAGAACTGGAAACTGTTTCTAAAAATTACGGTAGAATCAACCATTCTTCCAAGGCCTCCCCACACTTAATATTGGTAAACTGACTATTAGGAAAATTTATGGTGCTGACACAACATTGCCACTTCACCATTGTAAACACACCTAACATCATCTGATTTTGGAAGCTAAACAGGGTTGGGCCAGATTAGTACTTGTATGGGAAACTACTAGGGGATACCAACAATGGCTAAATAATGTAGGACTAGGTGAGAATCTTGCTTCAAACCCTGGAGAGCTGCTTGCCAATCTGAATTGACAATAACAGTTCGGGGGACCAAGGGTCTGATTCAGTGTAAGTCATGTTTTTGTGAGGATTCTATTTAAAGGTAAAAGGATGGAAAATAATGTTTTTTTGGTTTTGTTTCTTTCTTTAATTCTTCCACTCGCAGAATTAAAAGCTCACAGGACACATTCATAAATTCAAAAGCACCCTTTCATCACTTTAAGACTGAGGCTAGGCAAAATGCTGACTACACACTGTCTTGGAGTCTCCTTGGCTTTTGCAGAAAAGACTTGGTTTGACTCACCTCCAGCTCAGTCAATCTGTGGGAAAAAGACTGAGGGAACCTGTTGGGGCACTGAGGAAAAAGAAGTTCCTGACAGTCATAGGATGTTAACCTGCTTTATAGCATCTCAAAAGCACATCCTCTTGTTCCAGAAGGGTTTACTCCTTAGTGAGTGTGTTTAGGATTGCAGCTTTGGACCAGGAAAATCAAAACAGCTTTCCAAGTCATCTGTAGGTTACACTTTTTAGTGAACTGCTTTGAATTCGTCCAGATTTTAAAGACTGAACACTTTTTAAAAAAAGAATAATTAGGGCATGCACTCCAAGGAAGGGTATTTTAACAGCAAAGCCATTATTCAAATGTGCACATGCTAGTTTGAACTCAACTGCTGCTGAGTACAACAAAAGCCATGTGAACATACAATAACAAAGCAGCACAGAGGAAACACATGAGTTTATGACGCAGGCTCAGAGATTCAAATAAAATCTCTTTATTCAGGTAAGAAGAGGAAAAACAGTTTTATAGTTTCCATATGTTAATGAAATACATTCAAACCATGTTTGGACATGTCTCAACATTTGTTCTGATGCTGGCAATGGTCACAGGCAGGGGATTGTACTGATCCAATCAACAACCCCCTTTTTAATTAGAGAGACAAGATGCTGCAATTAGTGTTGAACTACTTTTGACATTTCACAGATCAGATATTCCCTTTTTTTGTAAACCCCAATGATGGCATACAAAGAATCCACAACAAACCAGATACAAACAAACACGGGGTGGGGGGTGGGGTGCTGAACAAAAACCAAGTTATAATCTGATGCAAATCCACTGTTCCCCTTTAAAAGTACCATGCATATGGGGAAATAGGCACCTTTCACTTCACATTCAGGTTCCAAGGATCTGCCATATAAGTTACTGAGGGAAAGGGTTAGGAAAAGAGATGTCTCCAGTGAACAGATGCTTTGGTAAAACAAGCCAAGGATCCAGTGTTAACGGTTAGGGATCTAAGCCCTTTGTTTAGAAACAGATGCATTTCAGTTCCTAGAAGGAAGACCAGAAATGAAGAACACCACATTTCTGCCTGACAATTCAGTATAATGAGAGAGGATATGGAAAACTTTCCAAAGGTCTGACATCCATATACACATTTCCAAGAAAGTACTTACAGTATTTTGTCCTGTTTGTTTATTTATTTATTATTGGCTTATGCAGACAAATCAAGGGGGTGGTGGAGAGAAGGTGAATTATGTCAAATGTACAGCCTCATCCTATTCAGGTTTACCCATGAGTCATCCACACTATAGTCAATGGGCCTTCTCTCCAAGAAGTACAGGGACAGCTCAAGCAACAGGGAATACAGTGACACTTATTTCTCACAACCCCAAAGGTGCTCCTCATCAAAATGTGTTTAAGGAACCGCTGGTGGCACAACTCCTAAACCTCAACACTGGGCTGGATGCGGACCAGAAAACATTAATAGCTCACTACACACACCCATCGCGTAACGCCACCCCCATCCCCACGACCCAAACACCCCTAAAAGAGTCCATCGACCAAAGCCTATGTATGGACGGGTCCTCGGTATTTTTTTGAAAATATGAAAACCTGGCAAGCGTCGCCCCCCCCCCCGAAGGGAATGAATTGCGGGGCGAAAATGGTTGGCCAGCGACATGCCCGAATATACAGGTGGACACACGCAGAGGAGGAGGGCGCTCCTCCGGGACCTCCGCGCCAAGCCCCCTCTCTCTGGCATTAAATCTATTACAATTTACTATTACTGTATTGCTATTATTTATTTATTTATTTATTTATTTAATTTGTATGCCCGCCCAGAGACCTTTGGATAGTGTGGGCGGCATATAAATTAAAATAAATAAATAAATATAATTAGACGATAGGTGGGAGGGAGGGGGGAAAGCGCTCGAAGGTTTCCGTGCCAAATATAAAATAAGAAAAAGAACCGGGGGAAAAAAAGGGCGGGCAAAAAGGGAAGCGCAGGGGAGCCAGCCCTGAGGCGGTCTGCCTGCTCCTTCCTCCTCCTCCTCCTCGGCCGGGGTCCCCTCGTTGAGGGGGGATCCCGGCGGGCGCCGAGCCGGGCACGGAGCCCTCTTTGTGCCCACAGGTCTGGAGGGGAAGGGAGGCAAAGCGGGCGGGAAGGCGGGAGCCCGAGCCCGGCTCTCAGAGATCCTTTCTTCCCTCGCCCAGCCATCCTGCCCCTTTCCCAGAGAGAGAGAGAGAGAGAGAAGGGAAAGAGAAAGACAGAGAGAGAAAGGCTGCCCAAGGGCGCCCGGGCTGGCTGCGGCAGGGAAGGCGGAATGGGGAGGTGGGAGAGGAGAGAGAGAGAGAAGGAAGAGGCGCGGGCCAGCCAGCCAGCCATCCGCCTTCTCCTCCTGCAGGCCGGGCGGCGGCGGCGGCTCAGCCCCCTTTCAGGGCTCGCCCCGCTCGCCCGCTCTCACCTCCTCGATGGCGGCCACGGTGTTCCGGCACTGCACCATCCGGGTGGTGAAGTTGGAGGCGGTGGGCGCCTTGTAATCCTCATTGGTCTCGGAGACGAATTCCGACACGGAGATCTGGTCCGGCATGGCGGGGGGAAAAGGAAGGGACCCGAGGCAAGGGAAGGAAGGGAGCGGGCGAGGCCGGCGGCTCCGCGGCGGAAGAGAGGGACCGAGGCAAGGAGCAGAACCAGCCAGCCAGCTAGGCAAAGCAGGCAGGCAGGCAAGCAAGCAGGCGGGCGAAAGGGGGAACCTCCCCGCCTTACATCGCTCGACAACCAGGCGGCGGCAGCGGCGGCGCTTCGCTCCTTGCACGCTAAGCAGCAGCGCCTGGCAGGCGTTCGCAGCGGCGGCGGCGGGGAGCGGGAAGAGGAGGGGGTGGGTTTCTGAGGAGGAGCAGGGTGGCCGGGAAATGCCCTCGTTTGGAGAGGGGGAACCGGAGCGACGCCCCCGTCCCCCGGGGAATCACGCACAAGCGAGGCGGTGGGGCGGGAGGAGGAGGAGGAGGCAGAAGGGAAAGGGGGCGCCACCCGAGCCGGCACTCCTCCCCCAAGGGCGAGCGGAGGGAGAGCCCGGCGCCCCCCCCACGCCCCTCGCCGCGCCCGAGGAGGCCCAGGCCACGAGGCGCGCCTCCCGAAAGGCGGCGGCGGCGGTCCGTGGGGCGAAGGGGGGGGGAAGCCGGGCTGAGGGGAAAATCGGGCGGCGGCCACTCTGCGAGGCGGAGGACGGGCCTCGCCTCTCCTGGGGTTGCCTTCCCGCTGCCCGCCTCTCTTCCCGCTTCCAAGGAGGGCGGCGGCTGAAGGGGCTTACATCGCCCCCCCTCCTCCAAGGGGCTCCAGGCGCCTTCATTTTTGCCGCCGCCCCCCCTCCGCCGCTCCTCCATTTTAATATCTTCCCCACAGCGACAGACCGCATCCGACGCCTTCGGAAGCGCCGTAGGGGTCCGCGAGTCGAGCCGCAGAAAGAGCCCCGCTGAGGGTGAACAGGTCAAGGACGTCGGGCAGCCTGCTTAACGAGAGGCAGTCAGGGTCACATCCGTGCTCGGTCGTGAAGCTTGCGAGGTGACCTTGAGCTGGTCTCTGGGTCGTTACCTGGCCTACCTGGCCGGGGAGTGGTGAGGGCGAAACTGAGGGGGAGGAACCCTTGTGCCGCTTTGAGCCGTTGAGTTGGACAGACAGGATGCTGATACCGTCAATAAATGGAAAATTGGTGGGGGGCATATTGCAAAGGCGGCTTTGCTGCATAAAGGCAGCTAGTGCCCCTGTGTCCCTATTGTCGCATGAAGGCGCTTCGACCCTTAGGCCTCCCAGCAGAGTCCCAAAAATGCAAGCAGCCCCATCGGCCCATTACCAAGAGAGCAGTTTGCAAGAGGCAGTGTGGCTCCTCTTTACCGGCCCTAAAACCGACCCACGTTTTATATTGCAAAAAAGAATGGGCCCCCAGTGACATACTATTAGGTAATTTTTGCCCCCTCCAACCCACCCACCATGAGGGCTACAGGTGAGCTCAGAGAGAAGGAAGAGCCTGAGGAGACGGCAGATGATGCCATGCTGTTGTTATGTGCTGTCAAGTCACCTCAGACTTAGGGTGAACCTATCATTCTCAACATCACCCCCCGCACATTTGAAGGGGGCCACAGACTGGAAACAATTCTTCACACACCACCTTATAAGATTCGTTTTGTGACTTTTACAATCCTGATTTGGTCTAGATTTCTTTTGTATTGTGTTTGTGACTCGCCAAAAAGATGTTGAGAATGGCTGTTGTAAAAATAAACAAGCCTGTGAATGACCCTATGAAAGAAATGGTCCTAATAAAAATCTGTATTGTGGACAAGAATCTACCAATAGGAAAAAATATGGAGGAACAGAATGGTTTCAGACAAGCGTGTATTTTGTCCCCTTATCTATTCAATCTATATGCAGAACATGTGGAAAGCCGAATTTAAATGGAGGAATGAAAATTGGTAGAAGAAACATCAGTAATTTAAGATACGCAGATGACACAGTCTTACTGGCAGAAAGCGCCAATAACTTTTAGTGAAAATGAAAGAAGAAAGTGTCAAAGCAGGACTCCAGTTGAATATTAAGAAGACAAAAATGACTACAGAATAATTACATAATTAACCTCCCTGATCAAATAAATAACTTAAGTTTGGAAAGCACACATGTCTCCTTGAGTGATTGGTATTGAGACAGCAATACCTGGTGGCAGCGAAGAAGGAAGAAGAGTGAGAACCTTGTGAAGGCCTGGGGAATAGGGGCTTCAGAGGAGATCGCCACATTGACAATTAATTGAAATTGAGTTTTTTATATCTTGGTTCTATCATCAATCCAAAGAGAGACTGCAGCCAAGAAATCTGAAGAAGATAGACTAGGAGACGCAGAAGCAAAGGAATAAAAAAAAGATCATCAGGTGTAAGAATGTGTCACTGGAGACCAAGACCAGAATCACCCACACTATTGTATTCTCTATCACTATGCAGAGACAGTAAATAAAGTTGATAGGAGAAAATTATTTGTTTGAAATATGGTGTTGAAGGAGAGCTCTACAGATACCCTGGACTGCCAGAAAAACAACAAATGGATCCTAGAACAAATCAAGACTGAATATCTCTCAAGGCAAAAATTGTGAAACTGGGGCTGTCCTACTTTGGGCACATCATGAGAAGACAAGATTCTCTGGAAAAAAAATAATGTAGGGAAGGGTTGAAGGCAGCAGGAAAAGAGTAAGACCAAATACGAGATAATTTACTTCCTAAAGGAAGCCATAGGCTTGAGTTTACAAAAGCTGAGCAGTGCTGTTGACGATATGACATTTTGGAGACTACTCATTCATAAAACAGCTAATATGATGAATGATCTCCAAAATGTCCTGACATCGACAACCCTGATTAGCTCTTGTAAACTCAAAGCTGTGGATTCCTTTAGAGCAGTGATGGAGACTCTATGACACGCGTGCCACAGCTGGCACACGGAGCCCTTTCTGCCAGCACACGAGCCATAAGTCGCCAGATCGCTACTCCACATACACCCCGCGCAGCCAGACCTCAAAAGGCGGCTGCAGCCACGGTGCTGGCGCTTTGGCAGGCGGGTCCGGAGGAGCGGGTGCTGGCAGTAGATCTAGAGTGGAGTCTCGAGGCATCTCCGTGCCGGGATTCCCCCTTCTGGGGAAACAAGCTAGCCTTTGACTGCATGAAGCTTCAAAAGACTGGGCATTACAGAACTACCAGTTACTAAGTACTGCACTCCCCCTCACACCTTATATCAAAACACATGGCTCATTTTTGTCTGTGGTTGACAGTAAAATTAAGTAACGCTAAAACTAAGCACTGATACCAACTTGATGAAAGTAGGATGTTCATAGGTTGTAGACTACCATTACTAGGGCTGAGTTCTCTTATATCAACACTTGATTTTCTGCAATCTGAGAAACAAAACAAAACAGTGTTAATCTTTTCTAAGAAATAGGAAAATACATGTAGTAAGCTAGTTCCCTTGTGTTATTTTGTTAATAGTTACACATCATCTTGTGGTTAGTAATAAGCTGCTGTCCTATGAAATAATAATGGAGAGAAATCCCCATTCCTACTGTGCATGTATACTACTTTTCTACTAGACAAAAGGGCTAAATAGTTGTCTTCTTGGAGCCAAACTACCTCCATTTATGCAGTGTACGCTGCATTAAGAACTGATTTTCCAGGAAACTGATTGGCTCTTCTGTATAAAAAGTAATGTAAATGTAAATTCTGAAATGGAAAAAACAAGAAATAGCTTATTCACAGTTGCTAACAAATTTCCAGCAGTTTAATAGATATTGTGAGTTTACTCCCCACACATTGTTTGCTGGGCTGGTCAATTTTGCCTCTGTACTGTGATGTGCTGGAGGAGACTCTTGAGAGTCCCCTGGACTGCAAAGAGAACAAACCTATCCATTTTGAGGGAAATCAACCCTGAGTCTCACTGGAAGGACAGATCCTGAAGCTGAGACTCCAATACAGTGGTGCCTCGCTTAACGAGGGCACCGTATAACGACGAAATCGCATAGCGATCCGTTTTTTTGGATCGCTAATGCAATCGCTCAACGAGCTTTAGATAGGGAGAAATTCACTTTGTGAAGATCGGTAAGTGTTTCGCTTACCGATCTTCGCAAAACGAAGCTCTGACGATCAGCTGTTTGGCGGACAAAATGGCCGCCGGAAGCCCCAAAATGGCCACGCGCAGCGTTTTCGCGCCCTCCCCTCGCTTAACGAGGGCACGAAAATGGCTGCCGGCCATAGGAAACCTCGCTGAACGGTGAGTAAAGGAGCCTTTTGGAATGCATTAAACGATGTTTAATGTGTTCCAGTGGCTTTCCCTGTCCCGTTCAGCGATGTTTCGCTATAGCGAAGGTTAATCCGGAACAGATTAACCTCGCTATGCGAGGCACCACTGTACTTTGGCCATCTCCTGAGAAGAGAAGACTCCCTGGAAAAGACCCTGGTGTTGGGAAAGTGTGAAGGCAAGAGGAGAAGGGGACAACAGAGGATGAGATGGTCGGACCGTGTTATCGAAGCTACCAACATGAATTTGACCCAACTTCGGGAGGCAGTGGAAGACAGGAGGGCCTGGCGTGCTCTGGTCCATGGGTTCGGACAAGAGTCGGACAAGACGTAGCGACTAAACAACAACTGTGTTGTGAGAAACATTTTTTGTGCCAGAGAAAGGGGAATGTCTGCTATACACTCTGCTCTAATAGTGGAAATGTATTTATAGTTTTAATGAAAAAAAAACATTTTTACAGCCCACATTCACCTATGGTCACTCATTATTGCTGTTGTGCATGTTCAGCAACAGATTATGAAAATGGTAAGCGAAATAGGGCTAGTCATTCTACAGCCTATATGCACACAGTTTAGCCTTGGAAACAGCAGAGAAGGGCTTTTGGTCAGCCAATGAAATTTGGTGAGATCACACTGCGTGTAATGAGAAATATCTTGGCTGAACATGAAGGGCAATCATTACACTTGAAAGGTTGTATTCATGTCTTTTCCAGTTCTGTTTCTTATTCTCCGAGTGCCGTGAGAATCTGCAAAGAGAGCCTTGAAATGTAGAGTGGTGCTCCTTCTGTACTGGAATTTTCTTTCTTCTTCGTGATTATTTGCATTTGTAGCAAGGCTTCTGTACTGGAGGTTAATGCAAATTCTTCAAGAAAAGCAATGGAAGAGAACTCCTTAAGTGTCTGCTTGGGTTACATAGAAATTTGATGTGCCCTAAGTTCTAAGCAAATTGAGACAATGTGACAAGTTGCTGGGTTCTGGGCAGGTTCAGGATCAGCAGTACTACACAGAGAAGAACATCCTCAACTGCATTGGTTCTCACCACAAGCAGTACTGTTTTTTAAAAAAGTATTTTCCACATCTCTGATGAAGGTTTTGAGGCTGTTCCCAAAATAGATCTTGGCTCCTTGGCATCACTTGTGTACTATTCTTTCTTCCTCATTCGAGTTGCTTGTTTTTAATAAAAAACACAAGTGCTGCTGTTCAGTTTTTACTACCTCCTAGGCTTGTATCTTATAGATGGAAGGGATTCCTTGCTAAGCGGCTGAATT